CACGTGGTTTGACTAGTTTGGTGCAGCTGGGATCAAGTTAAAAACATGCCTTCTGAAACATTCAGCAGTGCTGATGTGGCTCACCATTCTTACTAACAGGTTTGTCCAGAAATGTGCTCAGAGCGTAAACTTTTATCTTGTTATGGTTTATTAGAACACTGCCATGCATTTGGTTTTTGCTTTGAACTGGTTTCTGATAAAGTTCTTCTGTTTACATGTTCTTGATGAGCAAAACAGCAACCACTCTTCTGTGGAAACAAGTAAACATGATTTATCTAAACTGTTTTGTGTGGGATAAGTGTTTCAGTTCACTTTGAATTGTGTCTCTGGCAATGTCTCTGTACCAGATGTGCTGGAGAAAGATGTAACAGCACGTGCAAGGAGTTGTTACAGAACAGCTTTCCCACGATGAACCTTCTCAATGTGTCCTCTTTGTCAACAGTCTCCTAAAAGCAGCATAAGCTGTTCAGAGAGGGTACCCACAAACATTTATGCAGGGCTGCATCACCTCCTGCCTGGCACAGACTGTTTGTGTGCCCAGTTGAAATGTGAACATATTTGCCTTCTCCATTAGCTCTCCCTGGAATGGTGCTGCAGCCAGTGAGTGGCTCTTACTGCAAACACAGGGGCAGCTGTTTTATGTGGGGTGATGGACACAAGCTCTTGTGCTTCAAGCTGGAAAGACTCCAGGCTGTGTTTCCTAGTCTAAATTCTGAGACTCTGAGTTATATTTCCAATTGCTGTGTTTGCTTACTTTAATTAATATATTTTAATGTACAAGAAGAGCATACAAAACTAAATAGTAACAATTCAGAGCCCTTCTATTCAGTCACTCCTGAGCTGTATCAGAAAAATTGTTACTAGTCAACTGCTCATAAGCTTTTGACAGGTTGATTGAGATCAGAACCCAGATGTAGTCGATGAGCACCGCATGAAACACAGCCCGGAGCCCCTTCTTCAGTCTTGGAGATGACACTGATTTAACAGTTCCACTGCAAAATCCTTCCTGAGTGTGTTTGCAGTGCCTGTTGGGGGACTGCTGTCTGTAGGCTTGTCATCTCATTCCAGTGCCTTTGACTGAAAAATTATTTCTGCTTTTATTCCCTTGGGATGATTGGAGAAATAACTGCAATTATTCCTGCAAGACCCACTGATTGTCTAGTGGTCTTTTTTAAATCCCAAAAGTAATTTTTTAAAAAAATTTGGGATCTTGAGTTTTAGGTAGGAACACTTTCTGTCATGGGATAATTTTGAAGAGAGTTCTAAAAACTATTAATTATATCTTCTGAGTTAAAACTTCATGCTTCCAGATAAGCTTAACCTTTCCAGAGATGATGCAGTGCAAAAGAATGTGATGAAATGGCTGACTTGCCACATTTACTTGTTGGGTTCCAGACAATAGATGGGGCATGAGATCATGGGAATTTACTGTTGTACTTAGGAAAGCCAAGCTGCTTGGAGAAGGCTGACATTGGTATTTGAATTGCTAGCTGAGCACTGAAAGAGAAACTTCTGCTTTTGAAATACATGCAGTGGCCTCCAGCTCAGGGAGTTAAGCTGTTCTCCCGTGCATTCTTGAGCTCTTTGGTGCTAGAGCAGAGTTTAATAAAAGATACTTTCTGTGTTAAGTCTGGAAGTCTAGTACCAGGAGGCTTTTAGCCCAGAAACAAGGTGAAAGCAAAGAGTTGGTGAGGTCAAAGCTGAGGGCAGAGGTGGATCACTGCTGTGGATTTCTTCTTGAGAGCTTTGGGATATTGTCTTTGTCACTGATGTTCCTTCTCTGTCTGTCTTACAAACCCGATTTCTGTATGTTCTTAGGAGGTTTCTCTCCGGGAAGGAAGGTGCCATGAGGTGAAGGCTGGTGGCAATAAATAAATACTTGCCATGTCAGGATGCAATTAAGAGGTTCCCTAAAATGACAGGAATGCAAAAATCTAGGAGGGTGTGGAAGGGAACAAACCGCAAAAAAATGGTTTGAGAAACTAAGCTCAGATCTGTTGAAGCCCATGGGAAATGACTCTTGGACCATAATGAAGATAATGGGGAAGGAATACCAGAAAGATTTTTAAACTTGAAAAAAAAGTCAAGTATATGCTTTCTATGGCTCCCATCCACAGTCTGCTGTACAGTTGGATTCTGTACAGTTCTGTGTTTTCTTTACAATAATGACACTTCATCTTTTATTTTCAATAAGCCATGAACATGGATTCGTTTTGCAATATGAACATTTTACAGGAAACTTTTGTTTTGAGTGTATTACCAATATATTTGTTCCACATGTGTCTGATACCATAATTAGTTAACAGATTATGTCTGGGAGCAGTGTATCTTAAGCCTCTACTTATGTTGTAAGTAAAATTAAAAGCAAACAAATTTAGGAAGGGTAAGAGGAAATATGAACAAGTGCACTCTTGTTTCAGGGTTACAGGAACTGGGAGTGCCGTGTGTTTCATTTGTTACTTCAATAGAATCATCTTACTCATCTTCATGAACTTCTTAGGTCTTGTTCTTACTACCCTTCCTGTGTCTCTCTGAGACATTTCCAGAAGGGTGTTTGTGTATATTAAGGTGGAGTAGGACTTGCCTACCAAATAAAAAAGCCTGATTTTTTTTTTTTAGCAGACTTCTCAGTTCTCTTGCCATGAAACTGAGACATTTTGTCTGGCCATAGTGGCAACTGTGTCTTGCTTTTTGGCATGGCTTTCTCTTGGTTCTGGTCTGTGCTTCAAAGGCAGAGGTGGAAAAGGACAGTAATGTTTTGTAGCTGGGGTTGTGCCTCTCGGGCAGAGCTTGTGCTTGGCAAGTCCCTGAACAGCACGGCAGTGGTACCACGCCTCTTGTTTCATGCCCCATGTCCCACACATTGGTCTGTATCATAAACCAATGTTGGATATCCTGGGTATCAACATTCTCTTTAATTGAGGGGTCAGCTCTAGCCTGAGTGTAGTGACAGAATCTCAAGTTTGATTAAAAGAATTCTGAACTAAGCAGTTTAATGAGTTTTTTTTCCCAGAATTGATTTCCCTGCCTGTTCCTACCCCTTCCTAGTTAGTTCTGGATGAGGGCAGACGCCAGATAAAAAGCAATTAATTAGAACAGACTTTTTAACAAAAAAAGAGCTGTTTGGAGGGGGAAGTTAGGCATTTACCCACTGCTTGGCTCTAGTGAATCAGCTCTGCAGCATTTGGCAACTGAAAATAAAGGCCCTGCCTCATGCAGCAGTGGGGCACGTGTGGGGAAAATCCCAACGACACAAAACACGGTGATAGAAACTTGTCTTTGCATATAACCCGAAACACATGGTAATCATGTGCAGGTGCTCTCAACCTGAGGGTTGTAAACAGAAATCAGGAAATTGCAACTGCACTGCCCTTCCTGTGTTGCTCAAGGCCCGGGGAGGGAGAAGCCTGGGAACCGCTGCCCAAGAAAGGAGCCGTGTCGCCTGTGCCTCGCTCTGTGAGTGGGTCTGGTGCAGGGCCAGGAGGGCTGTGAGGGTCATCCTTGCTTCTGTGCCTTCCTCACTTCAGTGTACACAAGCACACCTGTGGCTGTACAGGGCTGGCTAATTCTCCCCACCCACCCAGCCCCTTGCAAAAGGAAAAGCAAGGTGCTTCCCCTTGCCCTCGTCAGTGCATGCATTCTTAAAGCTTTCCTGGGCTTTGGAGGCATGGATGTGGGGATAAATTATGGTACTGAGTGACAGGTTTAAAAAACCCATATTATTTCAAGAGCTGTGGGCATCTAGATTTTAAGTTGCCAAGCTTGGTTTGTTGCACAATAGTTGGTAAAACAGCTTATTAGTGGTTCTGCTTACTTTAAAGGCCAATAGAACACATGAGGTGCCTTTGCTGAGTGGGGCAAGCTAGTGACCCCACTAGCTAGGGACTCTGAAGAAATGCCATCTTCCTTAACAGAAAACCTCTTTGGTAGCTATCAGGTCTGGTTTAGAAGCATAGTTGGAAATGGAGGGGAAGGAAACAGGAATTTTTTAAAAAAAGAATGTCTGGATGAGCACTTCTGTCTCTTGGAAAGCACATCCGAGTCCTCATTTAGTGCAGTGAAGAGTAAACTCCTCTGGCTGAGAAGGAAAATGGCAATGTGGGAATAAGAACCTGTGGTTAAGGCTTTAAATAGCAACTGAACCTATCAGTGCTAGTGGAAGCCAGGGTGGTTGTTGGGTGTCTCTCTGGGTGGTGGGTGCTCCAGAGGAGCAAGAGTGTGGATGGATGTTGGGATGAAGAAATGCCTTACAAAGTAGCAGGAGGCTTTATCAGCAAGAGCCAAGAACTGTTTGCAGCTCTCCTGCACTTGTTAATGGTGGAAACATCTGCAGAATATCGATGTGAATTTGTAATTTGTGTACTGCTCCCATAAGAATTCAGGCACTTGGTCTTCTTTCTCTGAACAAGTTTTTGTGTTCTGAGTAGGAAAAGGAGTTTTGCATGATGGTAAGGTATTGAGGAACCAGGGTATCTCACCTGAGTAGTCTTATTAGTTAGTTCTGATTGATTGTGCTGTCCAGATACCTGCTTTCTGGCTGCTGTTGGGCAGAAAGGCCCAATACAGTCCAGTCTGCAATTAACTTGGTTTAAGCCTCCTAGGTTAAACTATTTTCTTCCTCAGATTCATGTGGAGACCAGCAGGTGAGGAGAGTAATTCACCCCAGAGAAATGAGGATGTTCTCCCCATGTAGTTTCTGGAGGCAGCCAGGGAGGGCTTAGTTCTGCATTGCTGTGGCAATAAAAATGATGAGTTGGTTGCTCAGAAGTTGTAGAAAAAGTGAAGCACACTCTGTCTCTCTCAGATTGTCTTGTCTCACTCTGTGATTTCTACTTGTGTACACAAAATAGGCCATTACAGAAATGTACAGTAGTTTTCCTAAAATTAGAGCAAACTGTGGTCTCGCTGTTGAAATGGGAGTCTCTGATTTGCTCTTTTTTTATGTGTGCATTTGGAAAGAAAGTCTTTTGAAAGTAAAACTTTCCTTGTTGGTCTTTCAGACACAGTTGAGTCCATGCTTTCAGACTACGACATCCTCTCCCTGTCTAGCATCCAGCAGCACTCACTGAAGAAGAGGGACCTCCAGCCTGAGACACATGTGGAGAGGCTCTTAAGTTTTTCAGCCCTGCAAAGGTAATTAAATCATCAGGGATGAAATAGCATAATATTTTCCTCCAGTTTCTGATGAGTAATGTGCAGTTTCAAACCCAGAAATTGTTGTCTTGTTTTCTGTCATGACTGGCCAGTTCTTCTAGGTTAGTGATCTCCATGGTTATATGACTTCAGAGAGGCTCAGAGGAAAGGGGAAAGTAAGTTCTGTTTTATTTCTCTGGTGGCTGAAGTGACAGTAATTTAGGATTTCTTTTGCTTTATTTTTAGGTTTAGTTTCATGTAGGTTTAGTTTCACTGCTGGGGTTGAATCTCACTTATACCTCATCTGGCAGTGTTGTCAGTACTTCTTGTCTGTCCTCTGGTTCTTGAAAATCTCAGCCTTCAGTTTGGGACGTGTGTGTGGTGTGCTGCCCAAGAGATTTATTGTATTTCATCTTTTGTTTGTTTGATTTGGTTTTGGTTTTTGTTATAAGATGGGAAATAAAAGCTCAGGTGAAAGGGGAAGGAGAAGTAGAAGGGAGCAGGCATTAAGATTGCAGCGATTTTATTCTGAGAGTCAGAAAAATGCCTTGCAGGTATTTCAGTGCTGAAATTGTGAATCTGAAATGGAGAGCAGAGTCAGAATAGCACTTTGTATTAACAAATGTAGATTCATTTTTGTTTGTCTGACATCTTGTCCTCTGTGTATTCATGTGCTTTCCCCTGTGTCATCTTCAGCTGTCATGCACGTAATGCATAATTGTTGAATCTCAGAATGTTTGAAAGGGCATTTTTTTTTGAGTTTGGAGGGGCAGTTATGAAAGGTTGATGGGATCAGATGTCTGACTGTCCCTGTTTTGCACTGCCTCATGCATGCTGGCTTTAGGGTGAGGTTGCCATTGACGATTACAGAATAATTGCAGAGGAGCATGCCAAAAATCTTTGACCCAAAGCCCACATAAACCAAGAGCCCACAAGGCTTCTTCTAGAGAAGGAATACTTCTTGGGATAGTTTGCAGGTTTTGTGACAATATATTGTAAAAAATGTAGAAAAATGTAGGGAGTTCAGATTTCTGTTAATGGTCTTCTGCCTGTATTATGTCAGAAAGTAAGAACTTCAAGATAATTTAATTTCAAATAGATGGAGAAATTTCTTGATCTGATTCTTTTTTTTTTTAATAGTTACCAGTAACTGGTTTTCCTTAGCTGCAAATGGAGAAGGCAAACTCTTACTGTTTTGGATTTGGGGGGTTATTTTTTAACTTTTTTTTAATTAAACATCCATGACTCTAAAATATTTACAGTTATCAATTACCCAGTATATGTTTTTGTAGCCTGCTTATCAGAATTAATGCTTTTTAACTTCTTTTGGACCCTCAATAGAATGGAGATTGAATGTATCTGTTATGTGTATACTTTGCTTAAAAATAAATGTAAGTAAATTCTTTTACAGGCACTTTAAATTGTACTTAACTGCAACTGCTGAACACTTTTCAGAAAAATTTCAAGCATTAATTGTGGATGGTGAAGGCAAGGAAAAAGAGTATCGTGTTCAGTGGCGGGACTTTTTCACCGGACATGTCGTTGGTCAGTATGAAGTAGACTATGGGTCAGTGCTGAGAAACCACAGCTTTGCTTGGGTCTCTTGGGCAGGGTTAGTGGTGTATTTCCCTCATTTTCATCAGATGTGGTTAGGATGAAGAAATAAACGTAATTCTTATCCTGTTGGGTTTTCTGGTTTTGTTTTTGTGGTGTGTTTGGGGATTTTTTAGGTTTGGTGGGTGGTGGGGTGTATTGCATCAAGCTCCTAAGACAGGACTCTTGTGTTGAGTTTGGCAGGACACAAAGGTATAATTTACTTAAGCAGCAGCTTGCAAATTATTATTTTTTTTAAATGCTGATGGTAGCTTTAATTCCAGCTGGAATGTAGGACTTGAATGTTCCTTGCTCCAGAACACAAAGCCAAGGTAGAGGTGATGCTGTAATGCCCAGACTGTTCAATTAAAAGACTTAAAGATAGTTCTTTGTAGATTACTTCTCTGTAAAGAAAGATGCCATGCTCCACTTTCATGCAGTACTAATGCTTCTGCTAAGTTGTTTTGATTTCTTTGTTGCCTTTGTGATGTGGTGAGACTTTCCCACTGGAATGCAGGCTGACGCCGTGAAATTGCTGTCTGATAGCAGTTAGATGCATGCTGCTTTTGTTGGCAGTAATATTGTGTCCCCCATTACTAATCCCCAGAGCCATCTCAACACTTTCTGCAAAATTTTCTGTTAAGTCTGAGTCTCGTTTACTGTGACTATTGGGAAGTTAAGACTTTGGGGAAGTGCTGATTAATTTCATTTTTTTCTTTAAATGGAACAGTACAGAGGCTGAGGAAGGTAATTTGTCATGAAGTTTAGAAACAATTAGAAACCCCCAACAAACAGTGTCTGTGCAGGAGTACATGCAAACAGCTGAATTAATTTAATGCTTCCATGTTTATGTTAAAGGAGAGCATAATTCCAAGGTTGTGGCTCATATTGGAGATGAAGATTTTACAGTGCGAATCAATACTGATGGAGAAGAATACAATATCGAGGTATGCTTTGCTGTGATGGAAAACTGTATCCAGACAATCACCTTCTTTTCCTCTGGGTGTTCCCCTGCCTTGTTAGTTATGTTGACACTTCTGTAGCTCAAACTAGATGTGGTGGTAGTGTTTGTTTTGGGGTGAGGAAGGAGATAAATAAGAAACCAATTTGGCTTGCAAGTGTTGACTTTTATTAGTGAGTGGCATTCTCTGACAGTTGCATGTTTTAGGTGCACCAGGGAGAAGGTATATTTTAAACATGAAGGGGTTTCAGAAACAGAAATAGATAATGTCAGAAATTAGTGGTGATCATGGCCTCTAACAAACTGTGGCAGTCTAAACAGAGTCAATGTCTGTGAAGCTTTTTAAAACTGGCTTTGTTACATCTTGGGAAGTTTTCCCATTCTTAGAGTTTCATTAAAAATCTGATATTTTATCTGAAAATTGGTTATTTTTCCCTACTCCTTTGTTTTTCACCATTTTACTTGCTTGTGCTATTTTGAACTCTTGGTTAAAAAAAATATTCAACAAATATATAATTAGAGACTGTCATAATGAGATATTCAGTGCAGTATATTCCCAGACACAAGCAATATTTGAATGGCTGAATAACAGTAATTATAGCTGAGTGTTATATGGATATTGTAATTGTCTCCAAACCCAAAGATACACAGAATTATGGGTAAACCTGAGAAATCTAGTCCTGTGAAAGTATAAAAATGTGATCAAAATGTCCAAATCACTGTAGTTTTGTTTTACATTGAGAACATACAGTATCTGTTTGCTTGTGATGTAAAGCGTTTTTGTGTTTGTGCTCCAGAGCAGTTGTGGGTGTGCCTTGTCTCTCACAGGGGTGCAGTCAAGCCCCTGTTCCTGGCTGGCTGTGTCTGTGCAGCTGGGGCAGGCAGTGTGTGCAGCCTCTGCTTTGTTGGGGTGTGCCCAGGTCAGCTTTGGCCACTACCAGCCCTGGGTGAGACGATTGCCATGTGCAGAGGGAGCTGGCCTGAGTCTGTTCCCCAAAGGCAGCATGGGCAAAGCTGCTCTGCCATTTCCTGCTTTTGTTTTCAGGGTAGTTGTGCATGGTTTGGAAAGGCTGTGGGCCTTTGTGTAAACCACTGGTGCTCTCACACCTTGCCTTAGTGTGTGAAACCTTCAGTTTTGTGCTGCAGACATGGCTGCTGACATGGCACAAAATGTGTCATGTCCTTCACGTTCTGGGACCTTTTTGCTGTGAAGTGAAAGCACAGTGTGCTAAATAATGCTGGCTAAAGTTGGAAGAGCCCTGCCTAAGGGCCAGAGGAGGCCCAGAGCCAGGTGCACTATGCTGCAGGTGCAGGCAGTCTGTGCTGCTTGCCTCTGGCCAAAGGACTGACCCTGCCTGTGTCATATTTAGTGTGTGGCTTTAGCTTTAACGTTCAGATAAACATAGGACTTGTCAGTAAAGTAAAAAGATTATTTTTATGCATCTGCTATGGGAATTGGTGTCTTTCTCAGATTTCATGGTCTTCTTTGGTTTTGGAGGAATTTATATGCATGTGAGTGACTTAGGTAGCTGTTGAACATTTGAAGAGCCCACATTCTGCTGTGTGCTTAAAGGCTCTCTGTTACCTGCCTCCTGTGCTTCTGGTCAGTGCATGGGTTAGCATTTAAAGATATCCTTCTGGCTCCATGCTCTTACAGAGGGCTGCAGAGGAACCTGAGAAGCCTCTTCAGCTTGCTCAGATTCTGAGGAGAAGAAAAATTCTCTCCTATGGCTTTATCAGGTAGCTGCCACTACTTTGTTAAGATGCTCTCAGACTTTTGCATTCCCGTGTAGCATAAGAGAGTTGACTTCTGTTGGCTGTCTTGTGGATGTCATTTTATCAGTAGATTTGTTGCTGTGGGTGAAGTGCATTTGTTCATTTGTGTGTGTAGACAGAAAACTGTGGAGATACAATGGTGCATCCATAAAGTTTTTTACTTATCTAGGCTTTGGGTTCATTGTGTTTCTAACTTCTCCTTGTGCTGTCAGCCACTGTGGAGATTTGTAGGTGATGTGGAAGATGAAAGACTGCTGGTCTACAGATCTGAAGATATCAAAGACTTCTCAAGGTTGCAATCCCCCAAAGTATGTGGTTATTTAAAGCTGAGTGAAGATGAACTGCTGCCAAAAGGACTGGAAGACAGGAAACAAAATGAAGGTGAGTGTCCATACTTTGGGAGAGCAGCATCTTTGAAACAAATTAGCTTTTTCAATTCACTGTGGGCATGGAGGGGGAAGAAGCAGCACTCCTCATGCCTCTTTAAACAACTTTGTATTTATGTGCCCTGTGCAGCAGGACCTGTTTGGCCTCTACGGTCACTCAAGGAATCCATCTTGTGCTTTGATAAAGTTTTGTGAGTTTTTGGTCCCAGTTTCCTCTGTTCTTTGCTGTCTTAGCAGAAGTTGGGGCAATGACTAGGAACAGGAGGAGGAGAGGTGTTAAGGCTGTGGTGATGACCTTAAAAGCTGTATAGGTTAATCTAGTGAATAACTCAGTTTCACTGCCATGCATTCTTTTCCTTACAGTAAGTTTGAGGACTGTTAGGAAGACAAAGTACAAGAATAGCTATTAAAAAAAAAGCCCCAAACTAAAACTAAACATCCCCATTCTCCTCCCAGGAGCCCACCCAAGCTCAAATTCAGGTCTTGAATAAGGACAGTAGACTCAGCAGGGGTAGTAGTATTGAGTGGTTTTTTTTAAATATTTCCTTTAGAAAGCACCCATCGGAAGACAAGAGCTGTTCCAGAGAACTCCAAAAACACGTGCAAGATGTTGGTAGTGGCAGACCATCGTTTCTTCAAGTACATGGGCCGTGGGGAAGAGAGTACCACTATCAACTACTTGGTGAGTAACTGTACCCTGTTACATTTGCTGGAATAGATGCCGGAAAATGCAGTAGTTCAAACACCATACAGCTTATACTGCTTTTGTACACGTGGTTTTTACCTGGGAAAGTGCTAAATTGTGCTTTAAAAATATTCTACAGTGAAGCTAATGTAGTTCAGTAGTCTTCAAATTTCACTTGAAAGCAAATTCCTTCCTGCCATGTAGTTCTGTTAGCTATGCTGTTTTCTGCCCAGGAACTTCTCTTTTCTCAGTCAGAGCTCTAGAGTCTCCTGAGTTTTGAAATCCACTGCAAATGATCTGAGCAGCTTTAAAGTCCTAGCATGTTTAATGAGAAGTTAAAGCAACTCATATAGATTTTCTTTTCCAGATTCTTTCAGGATTCTCTGTCCAGAACAATAAATTAGAAGCAGGCCTGGTAAACAAGTTGTTTGGTGGTGTGGGTTAACCCCATGGGCAGCTCAGCCTCGGGCAGCTCAGCTTCAGGCAGCCACTTGCTCTCCCCTCCCAGATGGAATGGGGAGAGAATCAGAAGGGTAAAGGTGAGATAACTTGTAGATTGAGGTAGAGGCAGTTTAATAGCAAAAGTTGCTCACAGCAGCAAAGCAAAACAAGGGAATTAATTTACTGCTTCTCATCAGCAGGCAGGTGTTCAGCCATCCTCAGGGAAGCAGGGCTCCATCATGTGTACCAATTACTGAGTGACCCAGCTGAAACACTGGGCTTGTCTGTCTGACAGGTTTTTGTGAACTAGAACAAGGCCCTTCTCCCTTTCAGCAGAAGGGGAGAGTATGGGGGTTTAGGGACTGAAGACAAAACAAATTAAAACAGGTTTGGAGGCCTGTTTTCGTTTGTTCATCTAAAGTCTCTTTCTGAGCTTTACTCTTTGAAATGCTAATCACTCTGTTCCACTTTTGCTGGTGTTTTGACCTTTCTGTTCCCAGAAATGCTTTCACATTCTCCAGGTGAGGGGGCCTCATTTGTTGTGTTTGCAGAAGTGCTCTTATCTCAGCATCTGACATGTGCTGAGGCTGACCCCTGTTGTGTTTCCTGGGTAGATGGGTACTGTTAACAACACAATGATTGGAAAACTGAAGCATTAACTATTACTGAGTGGTTCTGAATGTCACTTCTCCTTCTCAGCAAGTTTGGTGGTTTATATTTAGTAGAAGGTGTTTTTTTAAGAGAACAGCTTGAAAAGGGAGGTATTGATTGTGAGCACTGACAAGAGACTTTCTGGAACTTTGTGCTTGAACCATAATGAGGAAAATAATAGGTTTTTGGCTGGGTGAGGGAAGCAAGCCTGGGGGGTCAGTTAAACTAGTTAAGCACTGTGCTGAAACAAAGCAGTAAAAACAGCTCCCTCCTCTCCCCTTCCCCTCAAAGAAATCTGGAAAATTAGTGTTTGAACAAAGTGTTTCTCAAAATGTCTTGTTCTTAATATTATTGCTATTCCACTACACAAACAAAAGTGATAAATGGAAAAGTTTGTGCTACTTTTTTATGATGGAAAATTTTCAAGTATATTGGATAATTCTGATCCAAAACCAACAGTACTTGGATCCAGGGAGTTTGTCTTATTACCTTACACGAGATTCAATTTTAATTCAAGTGACTGTTTCTAGGTAAGTATGTAGCAGTTTCTCTTGAGTGTCTTTTGCTCCATGAAAGCTCACTTGGGTAACCTGTTTTCTCTTCCCCACAGATTGAGCTGATAGACAGAGTAGATGACATCTACCGAAACACTTCCTGGGACGATGGAACCTTCAATGGGTACGGCATACAGATAGAGCAGGTATTCACTGCACTCTGCAGAGGCCTTCCATCCTAAAGGAGCATGCTTTAACCAGCAGTGCTTCTGATTCTTTTGTAAAAATAATAAAATAATAAAATCCTATGTTAAAAAATAATAAAACAGTAAAATCCTTCATTATTAACTCCAGCCAGGAGCACTCTGAAATTGCATCTTGCCAGTGTTAATGATCTGACATGATGCCCATTTTCAGTTCCTTGCAGTGTTTGAGATGTGAATTTCCATTTTTATTCCTGATTCAAAAGTGCATTTTTCACCTGAATATAAGCAAATTTTGTTTCATTCAGACATACTCATGCATTTGTCTCATATACCTGTTGCTAGTGCTTGGCTTTCAAAGTCTGAGTGGGCCTCAAACCCAGGTGAAAACAATCCTGCCTGGAGAGCTTTAATGACTCCCTTAGACATCATGCTAGGCTTGTATATAGACACAGGGAATGTTGTGACTTCAGTTTTTGTTATGGTGTCTTGAAATGCACAGAAATCTGGAAAACAGCATTAAAAACAGGAGGCCATCAGCTCAGCATACTGCAAGGGCTGTGGTGTGGGACATGGAGACTCATGGTACAAGCCAGCTGCCCCTTTGCTGGGAAAAGATCTGCAGGCATAAAGAAGGAGCATTACTTGGGCAGGGAGGGGGTGGAGAACATGATGAGCTAATTCTGGATTACTGGGAAAGTGGCAGTCCTTTAACATACATTTTGGTTAGCTAGAGCTCTGAAATTATTTGGGGTTATTTGTACTGGTTTTATTTCTTTGGGTTTTTTCTAAAAGTAAAAGGCATCTCAAAGCAGAATTTTACAGTGAAAACTTCTGATGTTATCCTGTAAAATGGTTACTTACAATGTAGTTATGATTTAGTTGGTTTATTTAACTAGCAGAGACTGGAAAGTTAATATTAGAATCTTGCTGAGTCTGATTTTTTCTCCTTACAGACCTATTGGGATATTTAAAATTACATTGAAACCTTTTCTGTAGCTATAAAATTGACAAAAATTCCTGTTCATTGTTGTTGCCCTTTTTTGACATGTAGATTATTATCCACAATGAGCCAAATCCTGTAAAACCTGGAGAAAAACATTATAATATGGCAAGAAGTTACCCAGATGATAAGAAAGATGCCTGGGATGTGAAAATGCTGCTAGAGGTAGGTTGTAACCCTTGAAAAATTGTGGCCCTTAACAGAAAACTGGTCATTCATGTGGCTGCTCTGTAGTAAAGGGTGAAAGTCCTCTGCTCCCTCTGCATGATGTGTAGATGTCACACAAAGTCAAACCAGCTGCTGTGCCCTGTAGCCCTTGGTAAAGGGCTCCCTTGCATAATTACAGAGCAGACATCAATTAGTCTCATTAATGTGGTCTGAGTCAGGCACTCCTGATGTGTCTGGCCCTGAGACTGGCTGCCTTGTGACCTTCATCAAGTTATTGTGCTTGGCTTTGTCCTCCCTGTGGAAAGGGAGAATGAATAGACAAGTTATGTAAATGAATGTGTACAGTGTACTTGGGCATGAGTTTAATTTCCTGCAGCTCTGCAGGACTGCTAAGCAGCTGCTGTTTTCTGACTTAACCAGATCTGGGGGGTACTTGTCTGGCACATTAAATAAATATAATTATCTATAGACTTCTAACAAGCACTGTAAGCTAACAGGGATTTGACTTGTTTTTATTTTTTTAAAGCAATTTAGCTTTGATATTGCAGAGAAAGCAGCTCACGTGTGCCTTGCTCATCTCTTCACGTACCAAGATTTTGACATGGGAACGCTTGGACTGGCTTATGTTGGCTCTCCCAGACCTAACAGCCATGGTGGCATTTGTCCTAAAGGCAAGGCTTCTTCTTCTTCTTCTCTCCCAGTTCTGGGTTGGAAGCTAGTTTTTGTTATTCATGTTTAATTCATTTCTCCAACTTTCATGGAGTGTGTTGTGTTATTTGCACACACTCTAGGAGCTGGTTTTTTACATAGAAGGGATGGCTGGGTTTTTTTTTGGCTGGAGCTGGAAAAAGGGGGAAGGATAAAAGTCACTAAACAAAGTTGCTAAGCTATCTGGTGTGAGCAGGCTGTATAGAAAAAACCCTGTTCTAAGGGCTGCTTTGTGTGGGCACATCCTGCAGCGGTTCTGGAATGGCAGATGCTGTTGTCTTGGAAATTTCTGCTGGTTTTGCCTTTACTGCAATACATGAGCTGTTGGAGCTGTGCTTGAAAGATTCCCAGCTCCAAAAATTGACAGGGTCTCACTAGTGAGCCTATGAGAACAATAAAGCTGTAAAGCTGTTCATTTCCCCAGACAAGTATCCCTCTCTTCCCAGAAGTACCCTGAAACTCAAGAAAAATGTTTCTCCATTTTAATTTGTTTATTTCTCACTCTTTCAGCTTATTACAGTCAAATTGTAAAGAAGGATATCTATCTGAACAGTGGCTTGACCAGCACCAAGAACTATGGGAAGACCATCCTCACAAAGGTAGAAGAGGATCCTCCTCATATGTGTGTGCTGGTGGTGTGTGCCATGGGATTGTGACAAACTCCTGTGCTCTCTCAGAAAAGAGCTGCTGGCTTTCCATTTGAGTGAGATCTCTGAGGACAAGGATATAGAGCATAAAACAAAAATCATCTTTTTTGTTGTAGCTGACAAGGGGAGACAGGACTGAATGGAACTGAAAATTGAACTCACTGTGAAGCAGAAACAGAAACAGCTAGTGTCTCAAAGGACCTATAGTTTCCTAGATATAAGCAGGCTTTTGATGTCTGAAGATGAATTTAAATGTATTTTGTTTTAACAAAAAATCCCCAAACAAACAACAAAACTCTTAACAAAACAAACCCTCAAACAGAGCAAGTAGGCAAAGTAGGAGGTTTAGTTTGAGCCTTTTAATGAAATTCCTCCACTTGATTTTTGTGTTTCCTGAGTAACTAGAGCAGTGAACAGTATAGTAGACACAGCTTATTAGTGCTAATACTAAGCTTAATGTAAGTTGATGCTTCCTGCATTTTTTCCATACTTTGAGATAGTAAATGCACAAAGGCCTAAATATGAGCATTGTCTCACTTGTAAAGCCACCAGAGCAGTGCCTATGTCTGCCTCTGTTAAATCTTTGAAGTTGGGCATATTTCACTTTTGCTGACTTCTGCTGGCTTCTCAGCTGTGCTTTTCTGTAGCATGATTATAATAATAGGAATTTATAATTGATGTGTGGGCTAAAACTTGGCACAGAAACTGTCAAGAAGATAGGGAAAAAAGACACTAAAGCTTTGTGTTAGAGGGATGTTGACAGAGAGCTCTAGTAATGGCTGTTGCCATGCTATTTGCATTTGTTCAATCTCCAGACTGCAGTTCTGCCTTAGATTACAAAGGAGGTTTAGTTTTCTGTCTTCCCAGTGGCAGGCTTAGGGCTTGGGATGATGGTTCACATTGATTTCACAGGGAAAGTGCTGCACGGTTTCCACTTCGGTTTAAAAATACCAAAACCAAAACAGCCTCCTTAAAAGTCTTCTCCAAATGAAACACAGTGAAGGCCAGGAGGGATGCCTGGGCGGCTCTCCTGTCTCTGGCTCCCACATTGGCCATGCTTAGACACAGACTGGGGCAGGTCACGGCAGCTCTTGGTCCTTCCCGTGCCCACACAGCAGCTGCAGTGACAGTTCCTCTCCAGAGTTGCCCAGTCTCCTTGTGGTTATCTTTATTTCTGTGTGAGTTTAATTTGTGGTTGTCACCTTGTGAGCGTGACACCATCTGCTGGGGAGGGCGCCGTGGGAGGCGCGCAGCGAGCAGAGCCGGTTTGGGATCCTCAGCACAGGCAGGCGTGCCTCACATAAATGGTGTTGGAAATCCATCCCTGTTGGGCCACAATTGTGGGTGTCTTTCCTAGAAATCATGCAGTAGTGGAGTTTATTCAGCACTCCTAATGTCATCGTCCATTTAGAAGAAATAATTCTAATGGCAAGATCTGTTAAACAAGAGATTGACTAATTGGAGTAGCTGGTGTTTGTTTGGATTGACTTTTGGTTTAACTTTTTATGCCTTCCAGCTACATAGAAGGAAATTTTCATATTTAAGCATCTGCATTGCCTTGAAAACAAGTTTGAATTGGTATTCTAGGACAGTATTTTGCCTTGAACAGTGATTCAATGTTCAAATCTAGTCCTTGAACTTAACTTTGAAAAGGACCACAATTTTATTTACCTTAATTTCTCTAGAAAACCAGAAAAATGTTCATAGACAATTTCCTATCATCTTGGTGTATTTTAGTATTTCTGGTGGCCTAGAAGTAGCTGGGATGTTCTGTCCTTTATTGGTCAGACTAATTTTTTCCAACATTGTTTTTTTTCATGTTCAAAAAAGGAGGCTGACCTGGTTACAACACATGAACTTGGACATAACTTTGGAGCAGAGCACGATCCTGACAGTCTGCCAGAGTGTGCGCCCACTGAAGACCAGGGTGGGAAATATGTCATGTATCCTATTGCTGTCAGTGGGGATCATGAAAACAACAAGGTATGGTTGTTTAGTTTTGCATCAACACAAAAGTTTCTGCTATGGTTAGTGACCCTTTGCATGGCAAATCTATTTAGTTAATGATTCCTGTAGTTTGAAACCACCAGAATGTAATGGATTAGCCATAAGAAAACATTTGCATGCAGTTTGGTTCTCTGTAAGATAAGCTCATCTTTGTAATCTGGGTTTCACTGGAGTTCATAGCATGTCAAGGTGCATTTTAATTAGTTGTTTGTAATTAGCTGTGGCCATATGCTGCTACAAGCAAGTCCCAGCAAGAGTCAAATCCAGCACCTTCAGTCCCACACAGCCTTGGGGTGCTCCATAGCTGCTGTTGGAGAGGGGCTGCCAGGTGCCACAGCCGTGGTGGAAGTTTGCCCTGGCACTGTGGGCTTGGCATTGTGCCTGTTGTACAGATGAAACCCAGATGAGCAGGGGATGCTTGGCCTGCAGTGTGCCCTGCCCTGTGCCCAGCCCCTCTGGCCAGAGGCAGCGCAGTCTGTGCCTCCTGTGCAGCCTCACATCCCGTCCTGGGGCCGGAGCCGTGGGGGAGCTGGAGCTGGCTCTGGGCCAGGCTGCAGCAGTGGGGCAGCCCCTGCAGTGTGCAGCAGTGTCTGTTACTGACCCAGCTAAAGTTCTTCCAAGGTACCAAACTGGCAGTACAAAGGGAATAACTGCCTTCTGGAATGCCAGGGCTCAGAGATACGGGGAGGCTGTGGCTGTCCTGGATGCCGGTTGTTGACAGAAAGGTACACTCAGTGCTGCTTTTTTCCTCTGTGACTCTCTAGATGTTCTCAAGCTGCAGCAAAAAATCCATCCATAGGACCATAGAGGTCAAGGCCCAGGAGTGCTTCAAAGAGCGCAACAACAAAGTGTGTGGGAACTCCAGAGTGGATGAAGGCGAGGAATGTGACCCTGGCCTCCTGTACCAGCTGGCTGATCCCTGCTGCTCTGCAGACTGCAAACTGAGAGAGGGTGCCAAGTGCAGGTAAGGGGAAATGAGCTGCAGCTTCTCTTTACACAGGAGAGAACGCTGGGTTGGGTTAAAAGCTCCTAAAGCCACCTGCAGTGTCACAGGCCCCTTTCCTGGCTTTAAGGCTGAATGAGTGAGCTCACAACAGTGAAAGATTTCATGAAAGGCTTCTGTATGCAGACATTAATTTTTATAGCATTCTGTTTGCTTTCCTGAGAAGTGTCAAGAGCCACAGTCTTGCAAATTATTATTGTGTTGTCATTGTTATTACTACCATTATTATTAGGCAAACTTAGGCAATCAAAAAGCATAAAAAAATTTCCTGTGCACACTTTCTGTGCAAATACAAGTTTTGTTTGTGTTGGAAGGAGGCTTTTTACACTGGTACATGCTGGTAATTCCAGAATGCTGCAAAATGTGTTTGAGCAGACAACACAGTGACTGCACTAAGTGACTCCTCTTTCTGTTGTTGCTTTTTGGGATGTTCATGGCCTTGTTGCAATGCAGTGTCCAATCTTTTTTTTTCATAGTTCAGCTCTACACCATGTAACATTAGAGAGCTTGTGCAATTCCTGTTGTTTAGCAAGAAAATCCACGCATTTTAATGAGTGTTTTTGTACTAAGGGCCTTCATGTATTAGGTGAGAAAATGAAAGTAAAGACAATGCAGAATACGAAGTAGGAAACCCTTGGGACAAACACAAGGGGGAGAAATGTTTGGGGAAGGAAAGGGTGAAAGATCTTGTCCTAAGTTGCACAGCAGGTTACCAGAGGTTGATCCAAGTGCCTTGAATAAATACAAGGGTCCCTCTGTTGTCTCTCAATATATTGTACTTTCTATGTGATTTGGCCTTCAGTACATGAAGAGTGACTATGTATGTAGAAAGGTGATTGTAGGAGGGGGGCAGAGACAACAAAGGTTGAATCAATGAGTCAGTCTCCAAGAAGTAGCTTTTTATTTCCTAAACATCTTTTTTCCTCTGGCTTTGTCAACTTGTACTTATTTTTTAAAAATTGGTTAATATTTATTTCTTTCATTTTGATCTTTCCCCAGTGACCGAAACAGTCCTTGCTGTAAAGGCTGCCAGTTTGAAAGTGCACAAAAGAAATGCCAGGAAGCCATAAATGCCACTTGCAAAGGAGAGTCTTTTTGCACTGGTAGGATGTGGTTCTGTCCCCTGTATGTCAGCTAGCCAAGTGCTTCAGGCTCAATGTCCTGTTGTACCCACTTTCAGTCTAGTGCCCTTTAGTCATCCGGTACATGCAATTTTAGAGACCAGTTAAGCATCACAGTATGCTCCTATAATGAGTTTCATTGTAGTTCAAGAGTCACTTTGTGATTTATTGCCCAGAAGAACATAAAAAAGGTTGTTTATAAAATTTTTTTTTGTTTCTTTCCCTTAAAAAAAAGGAAAAAAAAAAGCAAAACAGAGTGTGTCCCTGGGGGGAAACAAGAATGAATTTTGCATAGAAAAGGTGGAATTACTGCAGCTTTTCTTCACTTCCCCACTTGTTTTACTTCCTCCTCATAGTTTTTCTTGGGGACAGGGAGTCAAGTCAGCGTGTGCTTTGCCGAGGGGGGCTCCAGGGTCTGCACCTACTGCTTGATTGCCAGTGCCACAATGCCCCTGAGCTGTTGAAAGCCTCCAGAGCTTCTGCTGCCTCTCAGAGCAGCTGGCAGGCAGCCTGCAGCTGAAAGCCAAGAGCAAGCTATTATTGGGCTTTTCCTGGGATAAGTCTGTATTTCCATTATTTTCCTTCTTTCTTCTGCACACGTAGGTTCTCTGCCCTTTGCTCTAACACAGCCCTCCCACTGTGCTGACTTCCATCTGCAGGGAACAGCAGCGAGTGTCCCCCCCCGGGGAACGCTCCGGATGACACCGTGTGCGTGGACATGGGCAAGTGCAAGGACGGCGAGTGCGTCCCCTTCTGCGAGAGGGAGCGGAACCTGCGCTCGTGCGCCTGCAACGGTGCGTGACACTGCAGTGGCACTGGGGCTGAAGTCTGTGTTTCAGCCCTGCTCCTTGGACAGTCCTGGCTTCACTGTGGGCTGAGCTTGTGGTTTCTGGAAAAGTTTAAACTGTTGGGTTTTGTCAGCTGTTCTCAGTTTAAAAAGGGAATGTGAATGTCTTCTGTCTTGTGGTGGTTGGGTTGAAGACATTAAGATGAGACTTAGGCTCTGACACTCCAGCTAAAGGAGAGGACACTCTCCTGCCTTCCAGCCCTACCACAGATGGACAAGAAGGGATTGTAAGGAGATTCCAACCAACCTCTGGATCCGGCATCTGACAGAGGAGTGGTGGCCTCCAGCAAGGGATTAAAGAGAGATTTCAGAGAGATTAAAGTGTCTTGAGAATATAGAATGCCCAACTTAATTCTCCTGCTAACTTGCCTGCTATACACTTCTGCCAGTGACTTTTCTTGCTCCTTTGCTGTCCATTTTATCCCCTAAATATGGGAAAGCAGCTTGGGAGTGGGATGAAAACTTCACAGGGGTAACACAAGGAACTGTTGTGAGCACCACCATTTGAGATGGAGGGTATAGCTGAGGAGTCAGGTACCTAGAGGACTCAGAGCCCAAGAAATATTTAAATCTATCTTTTTGGATGTGCTTAGAACCTCTTCATTGGCCTGTGGATTAGTGCAGTTTTGGGGTATCAGCTTGGAGGACTTGGTCCCACTGTACCCCTTAATATGTTGCACAGGGCATGTGATTGAGTTTTAGGCTTGATTGTCAGAGTGCCCAAAACTGGGTGGCTTGGCCCTGCTTTCCCTGTGGGGCAGCTGGCCAGGACTGTGCTCAGCCAGGAGACACACAGGGTAGTGGCTTGCAGGTGACTCTTTGTGCTCCCAAGGCATGAGTGTGCTGCTCCATTTCAGAGACAGATAACTCCTGCAAGGTGTGCTGCCGGGACGAGCACGACAGGTGCACGCCGTACGTGGATGCCAACGAGCAGTTCCTGTTCCTGCGCAAGGGCAAGCCGTGCACCGTGGGCTTCTGTGACACAAATGTAAGTGTGCCCAGCTCTGCCCGCTCGGCTCTGAGTCCTTGGGGAGGAGCCCTGTGCTGGGGAGGAGAAGCCAGAGCTTGAGCAGGGTGATGGGTTTTAAGTACCTCTTCACGGGGTAAATACTAAAGGGTGTTGGAGGCTGTGGGTGTTGGAGTTCTGCAGGCACCCACGCAAGGGGAAGCTGTTACCTTCTGGAGCTGCTCATTGTCCCCTCTGCTGCTCCCCACAGCCCAGCCAGGGACCCTGCTCAGCTCAGCAGCCTGGCAGCCTGCACAAAGGAGGGGACCGAGCGCTGCCCAAGCTCGATTGGGTTTGCAGCGCTTGCCTTTTCCCGTTGTTCCCGTTAGCTCAATCAGTTTTTATTCCAATAATTCAGGTCAGGGAGCAATCACATGGAAATCCAGCCAGCAGTATCTGAAAGGGGCAGTGAGCCTGTGGCAGGGACACTGGTGGGTTGTTGGCATTCCGTGGCCTTTTCCATGGTTCAGCTGTACAGACACCTGCAGACCCCAGTGACACCCACTGGGTGTCAGCAGAAGTGAATTTGGGAGGGCATGCCCCAGTCCTTCTGCTGGCAGAACTGGAGGATCAAGGTTCTGCTGTGTTAAACCAGCACAGCCAAATCTGGGAGTGAGTTTGTCTGTAACCTTGGGCTCCTGAGAGCTGCAGCCTTCTTTTTGAATAATGGGAACTGAGGCTTCCAGTGTTTAAATCTCTACTGAAACATCAGTTTTATGTCCCCTAACATGGGCCAAAGGTGGAGGGAATTTTGTACATTTCGAACAAAAATGATCTGATTCAGACCACAATTCAAGTGAAACTGGCTTGATAAAAATAAAGGCAGTAAAAATGGATTGCTGCTATTGGGCATGGGTGTAATTCTGTATTCAGAATGTAGATTAAGTTGTGTTGTGTCTGTAGTTCTCATTTCATTACTATCATTGTCCCTCCCTCTCCAAGAAGGCAGTACTTAATACTTGGGTGGTAGAAAATGATTTTGTTACTTTTGTAGGGCAAATGCGAGAAGCAAGTCCAGGATGTGATTGAGCGGTTTTGGGATTTCATAGACCAACTCAGCATCAATACTTTTGGTAAGATAAATAACCGTGTCCTTTGGGCATTTTTGAGTTCATGACATGAACCTCTAAAGCCTCAGGGGGAGTTAACTGGCTGGATTTATTCATCATGTGCAAGGGTAGCTGTGCTTGTGATATATCAAAGTATATTTTTGCCTGAAGTTTGAGACTACTGATCTCACCTTTTAAAGCTGAAAGGATGGGAGATTGTTTTGCATTTTTGTACTCCATTTTTTTTAGGCATCTTCCAAGCTTGTGAAACGGATGATAACTTCTTGTCCAAATACCAGGAACTAGGTCAATTAGAGAAAAGCAAATAACAATCAGTCTCTTTAGAGGTCAGCTAGATTCAGCAGGGTATAAAGTGGGCCTCTCAGTGGGATTTAAATGTCAGCAGAAAGGGAGGAGAACACATTTAAGAAAGCCAGAGGTCACACATCTCAAGCTGTGCCTGTGCTGAGTCACTCCCTGTGACTGAGTGGGCCTCCTTGGTCTTCATCCCAGCTGTGCAACCCAAGCAGGTGTCACCTCAGCCCAGGTGTCACCCCCAGTGTCTCACTGTGTTACTGGCACCAGACAAAACCCTGGTTAAGCTGGTGCTGTGTCCTGAGCCCTAACTGTGTGTGCTCATGGCACCACTGTGCCTGCATAGTGCCATTACCTGAGCTGCAGCTTTCAATCCCCAGTTTTAGGGGCAAAAAATTGTTTCTTAGCTAACTGATAAAAGCTATTTTGCCTGCTTGGATGGAGGCAGTTTTTGAATCTTTGGCATCCAAATATTTTGTGGGTGGAGGCAGGTAGAGATCACGTGGCTGTTACATCAGAATGTGGTGATGGACTCGCAGTGTGTCTTGTGTAAGTGAGAGGGGCAGCCTGGCTGGCTCAGTATAGGCTGTTCCAAAACAGCCCATGTTCAATATTACAGCCTCACAGCGTTTCTCTTCAGAGAACAGAGTAAAACCTGTTACTGTTAACATACTGGATACAATTTTTTAAAATTGTGTAATTTTAGCTTTGCCTACCTCAAATTAGGCAGCCTGTGCTTCTCTAAGCAATGCTGAGGCTTCAGTTGCCTGAGCAGTGGCTGCAGAAGGGGGGGATAGATGTGTGTGTTCAAAGAGTATTTGGTGGGTGACTGACAGATTTGAACTTGGTTCCACAGGGAAGTTCCTAGCAGATAATATAGTGGGCTCTGTGCTTGTCTTCTCCTTACTGTTCTGGATTCCTCTCAGCATCCTTGTGCACTGTGTGGTGAGTAAGCTGTCTTTGAGGTAACTGCTCTGTTGGGTTTTGCTGTGAGAACACCCTTCATATGTGAAGTGGCAGATGGCTGTGGGAGAAGTGATGGGAAGTTTTTAGCAAACCCTGGGGGGAAATCCAGCATATGTAAGGCTTTTACTGCTCCTTCAGTAGGCAAAACTATTGCTAAACTGTGCCAGGCATGGCAGACCCAGTGCTCCCATGACTATTCCCTGGAGCCTTTCCCATTCTTTCCCAGGCAGATTTTCTTTCTCTGCCTTGTGAGTTCCACCCAAGTATAATTTTAGTATTTTTATCATTAAAAACAAAGTCTTCTAAAGCTCTGTGAAGAAAAGACACCCACATTTTGAGAGAAAACCCAGAGTGGGAAGTGATCTTAGTTGATTTTGGGTGGATGGGTAAAGAGAGTCAGTGAGCCATGGCCACAGGGAGTGTGGACATGTGGTGTGCAGAGCATGTAGTGTGGACATGTGTGTGGGGCAGAGCAAAGGGGTGCTGTGCCCACAAGCACTCCTGGGATGAATGGGAAGGCATGGGAAGCAGGGGACCCCATGCTGAGTCCTTGCAGGGAAAAGGAGTCTTTGCCATAGGGAAATTAACTTTCTTATTTTGTTGTGTGTTTTTCAATAGGACAAGAAATTGGACAAGCAGTATGAGGAGAACACAAAGTCCCTGTTTTGCCCCAGTGTAAGTTGCTGTCTATGCCTGAATTGGCAGAATGCTGTCCCATGTGTATTGGAAAACCTGAACCTCGGATATCTGCAGAATATTTTCCAAAAGAGTAGTGAGGGAGAGCCCCAGAGCCCCATGCTGCAGAGGGGTGAATCCATGAGAGGGACAGCTGGTTTCTGAACAAGCTTCTGTTCACTCTTACCAAGCACTGCAGCATGGCAAGGTCTGATCCTTCCTTCCTGCAAGAGCTGAGCCTTGTTGGCAGAGGCCCTGTGGTGCAGCAGAGAGGGCAGGAAGCCACTCTGCTCTGCAGAGCATGGCTTCACCTGTGTCCAGCATCCCCCTGAGCAGCACCAGCCACAGGCTGCTAGCTCCCAGCCAGGTGGAGTCACTGAAGCATGAGGCTCAAAAATCTCTGCCAAATGCAGTGTCTTTGCTGCAGAATGGCTGTTTGCAGGAGGTGGCTTCTAGCAGCCAGATGTGCTACAGCTTTCCAGTTGCTCAAGGGTCACATCAGCAGCACTTCTCAGCTTGTAGATAATGAGCTGGGAGAGGGGAAGAGCAAAATAGTGCCAAGATAAATTTTAATTATAGTCCAGCACGGGGCACCTTGTGGCATAGAGGTTTGGGTATCCTTTCCTGTGCTTTGACAGTCCAGTTCCTATTAACAACTAAAATATTCAGTTAAGGAAAAGTTGTTCTGTTAGGGGAGGGGAAAAAAAGCCTTGTGGAGCTCTTCCTTGTGCAGCCATTGGAAGAAGCATACTGAAGTCAGAGACTACTGAGGCAGAGTGCCTCTGTCGTCTACTGTGACAGAACTGAGGGTGATCTTAGTTTGAGTGCCCCATAGCTGTGACATGAGAAAAGTTATCTTAGTGCTCCTTACCTGCATTCAATTGAGAAAATCCCAGAGGCAGGGGAGAGAGCACAGGAATAGCCAATGGCCTCTTTGCACCAGCAACAGTTTAATAAACAGATTTTATGTCTTTTGAACCTGTGAGGATGGAGAGTTGGGAAATGGTAGCAGGTAAATATCTCCTTCTTCCCAGTATTAGCATTTGCTGAGGTCCTTGGGGAATTTTTATGCTTAGAGATATCTGGATATTTTCCAAATCATGCTGAAATAGTTGCAGACATCAATGGACTTGAACTTAATCTGGATTGAGTTATGATGACACTGATCCCTGCAGTGTTTGACCCTATGTTCAGTGCAGTTCTTGTACATGAAACCATGAACTCTCCAAGTTGGAGGACTGGAATAAGCTGTACCTTGGACTGTTTCCCTACACTGAGCTCTGTGCCATGTGGTTTGATATTGAGTTTCCAGTGCTAGGCTTTGCCAAAGCAGTTTGGGCCCCAGAAGGAAGGGCCGACTCACCAGCTCTTCCCAGTGAGGCTGTCACCTGTAGTGCTTTACACAGAGGAGGAGGAAGCAGAGACAGAAAAGCGTTTCTGCCTTTAGGGAGTGGCACAGAGGACACGGCAGCCTTTAAGCTGTTCTCACAGGAGCGCAGCTGCTCCTCAGAACTGAAAACCGCTGCAGAAGCCCAACCCCGGGCTGGCCGCCGGTTGCTTTGCCGGTGACGCGGCCGCTTGTGTCTTGCAGAACGTGGAGATGCTCAGCAGCCTGGACTCGGCCTCCGTGCGCATCATCAAGCCGTTCCCCGCGGCGCCGGCCGCCGGCCGCCACCAGCCGCTGCAGCCGCTGGCGCCCGCGCCCGCCGCGCCCGCGCCGCCCAAGCAGGAGCACCAGCGCATGGACACCATCCAGGAGGACCCCAGCACCGACTCGCACGTCGACGAGGACGCCTTCGAGAAGGACCCCTTCCCAAACAGCAGCTCCGCCGCCAAATCCTTCGAGGACTTGACAGAGCACCCCGTCATCAGGAGCGAGAAAGCCTCGTCCTTCAAACTGCAGCGCCAGAACCGCGTGGACAGCAAAGAAACGGAGTGCTAGTGTCCTGCTGCCTTCTCAGTGTGTGACTCCGTCCCCAAAACGAGGATCTGAAACCATTTCATTTCTATAAATATAAATATATGTATATATATTTTTGTGAGGGAGTGGGAGAATAAGGAAGCGACCTACTGCAGATGCTGGTCATGTGTATGACCTTCCTTAAACTACATTTATTAGAGCATTATATCTTTTAAAAAGGAAAATCCAAACTAGAACTGGCTTGTTTTTGAAGCTTTTTGGATTTGTTTTTCTACTTCCTTGACCTTTAACATTTCCTTTGACCTGTGGTGCAAAACCAAATGTCCTGATGGATATTGGATTGTGTATATCGGCCTTTTTTTATAATTTAATATTTTGTAGTCTGACAGCACTGATAGATAAAATTAAGGGGCTTTTAAAACCAAAATGAACTCTGCAGTATGTTCCATAATAGAGTAGATAATTTAGCAGTTTAAGGTACATGTAACCAAAAGCCTGAGCAAATGCCTTGAGAACAGAAAGAGTAATGAAACAGGTAAAAATACAGTCTCGCAGCATTCAGAATAAAGAAACTTAAAATGCCCAGCTTCTGTGTAAATCAAAGGATCACAGAGGCTGTTACACTGTACACAGTGCATGAGAAATGCTCCTCTAGCATGAAACACTTCTGCCTCAGTGGTGAGGCTGTCTTGTCTTGGTGGCATTCGTTGGGAGCTTCCCTCTCTGCACTGAGGTTTGTGTGCTGCAGGTGTCTACTTGGAGAAAGAAGCATAAAGGAAGAAATCATTAATGCAGATGCTGTTTACAGCAGTTTTGGTGCAGAAATGTTTCTCCAAATGTTATTTTAAAACAGGCAACACCATAGTTGAAATTTTCAAATTACTGAGCTCAGTTTTCTGTGGTCTCTGTGGCCTTTAGAAGCTTCTACTGCATGAATGACAGAAAAAAAATCACTCCACTGCAGGGGAGGCATTTGTTTAAAAACAATTGTGAATTTAATAAAGAAATAAACCTTTGTTAAAACTTGCAGGGTAAGTATAAGGAGGAGATTTTGTGAATACACATAGTCACACAGGTAGTAAAACATGATGTAAAAAACCGATAATTGGATGGTGTCTTCTGTACACCTGGAGATCTGTCAGGTGAGCTCGGACCGGCACACGAGCATTGTTTTAGCCTAGTAGCAGATGGACTGACACAGCAGAGTCACAGAGCAACTGGCCTGGTAGTACAACAGCACCTTCATTCTGCAGCTGTTTTCCCCCACAATAATCTGTTGATTAAACTGACAGAGCATGGCCAAGGGCAGAACCATTTAACTCTTCCAAGCCGGGACTCATGCACAGGGATGTGGGGCTGTGGTGGGCCCATGTTTTTAAATGTGAGGGAAAGGAACAGGACCTGTGCTGCAGAGTTGTGTGAGTGCTCCCTCTCCTCCCAAGGATACTTGTTACACTAGTTACTTGAATGTGTGCCTTATGGTATTCCTATCTGACTAGCTATTATGTTTTATATGCTGGTTTTGAACTTTGTTTGGGGTTGTTTGTGTTTTGTTCAGGTTTTCTTTTTTTGATTCAGTGCCAAGTACACATGTGAGGAGTTAATTTAATTCCCAATAAAATAAAAGCTTTTTATATTAAAAAAAATCAGTTAAACAAGAGTTGTTTCTATGCAGCCCTTTTATAAAAGATCTCCATTCTCTGGTTGCCAAAGCCTGGGTTAAAAGTCTGGCATGCAGCCAGGCAGGAGCCGGGATTTCTGACTGCTCCTTTCTGAGCTCAGAAGCTGCAGAGGCCAGACCTGGACTATGAGGGCGCAGACCTGCACTGTGAGGGCTGCCTGCTTCCTGGAGCTGGAATGCCATGTGTCCTGCAGATTGTCATCAGTTCAGATGGTGACACTAAATGCCTGAGAGATGGGAGTGTGCTCAAATGCCTGTCCAGCTACCAAATCTGTGAGCACATGTTCTCAGCACAAAGGTCTTTACATGCCAGGTGAAAACCATGCAGTGGTAGGTGCTTGGCAGCATGGAAACAGAGATTTGGAGCAGGCCTTGGAAATCACTGAATCCATCCCCCAGCCTGAGCTGTAGTCCAGAAACTGAAAGCAGTACTTGCATGGTTTGTTTGTAACATCTAAGGCAGGAAGATCCACGGCTTCCCACTAGGAACCCTTTCTGCTGTTCAGCCAGTATTTACTGTAAGCATTTATTACGGAAAGGATAGTCCAGTTTAATACTCATAAATATTTATATATCAAACTTGCTTCTGCTCTGGCTCCAGGCACATGAAAAATACTTATGGTTCAGTTTATAACACTGTTACATAGTAGCTGACAGGTCTTGGCCAGCTTGTCTTGATTATTAATTTAATGAAGCAAAGGCAGTCTAATGGCACTGACAGTGCAGGACAGCATGAGAGCCTCTCATTACTCTCTCACCCCTCACATAATAAGCACACCTGCTCCATGTCAACTGAACTGTTAACACAGCCCAGAACTATGGAGGGGTTACACTTGCAGTGATGCACCATTTGATTTTGATGCACATTAGATCTATCCTCATTTTTGCTGCTATCTGGCTTGCTACGCAATCGTTTCCCAAACAATTTTTTTCCATACTTGTTGAATTTCATTTAGGTTGCAGACAATGGGGTTTTTTTTGTTTGTAAAGGCAGTGTTGTAGTTTGCGTTCTCTTGGCCAAAACCTGCATAGTCTGCAGTATTTACGTATCAGATGAGGTAAAATTATTTTAACAACTCACTTAAAAGGTCATCTTAACTTGATGGCAAATGACATAGGATGCAGCTTTGTCAGAAGAGATGCAGACCTCTGGTAGTTTCTCCAAGGTCATATATCAACAGTTTTATACTGCCCAAAAACATGCACTGGTCTGAAACCTGGGCCTATACAGAAGAGCTGGGTATAAAGAAGCTGCTGGTGGTGCCAGAGTAAGTTAAATTTTAAAAGCCCTGCTCTAAACTACTCTCTATCAGTACCAAAGCCACAGTAAAACTTAGGGAACTACTGCTCCTGCTGTATTACATCCAAATAAATGAATTTAGACTGACACTAACTGCTCTTGGCAAACTCCACTCTACTGCCTCTTACAAGATCCTCTGCATTCAAAGCAAGTAGATGGCATTAATCATAGTGCAGTCCCCAAAGCTCAGCAAGGCCAGGAACTGCTCAGGGCAGCCTCTATCCCTTGGCCACAGAACAGCTGAGACTCATTTTCCTCTGAGTCCTCCAAGGAAAGAGCTACTCATCCCCACAGCTATCCTGGCAACAGCAGCATGAAGAAAAACCACCTCAGGACACAGCCCAGTGGTCTCACCTTTATTCTCCCACAGCCCAAGAGAAGGGGACAGAGAGAGAAGAGCGTTGCTGGGGCCTCCCCGTGCCGCGTTCCCTGAGGACACAGCCTGCAGCACAATGAGCCGGCTCTGCCTGGCGTGGCTGCCCCGCCTCCCCCTGCACGGCTGTCACAGCAGACTGGCCTCGGGGTTCGTGTGGTCCACGTCACGCCAGTAAGGAAGCAGAGAAGGAAGGGCAGACAGTTTGTTTTCCAGGCGTGACCAAAGCTGAGCTGCTACAAAGCTGTTGCCTTTCGCTGATAAATGAAGGCCATCAGACAAATAGGAAGAGAAATCCTACAAGAGAGGTTAAAACCAGGTATTAGTGGAATTGCTAGCTGCAAAGTGCCTTTAGTAATTCTTCAAAGCCAGCTGGTAAACTGGTTTTATTTTTCACTGTTTTTGTTAAAATGTTAAGAGAATGTTCTGATGGCCAAAATCACTGCTATTCATCAGTAACAGATGACAGGATTAAGTGATGCAATCAAAAGTCAACAAGTCTACTGTATCAGGGACAGTAGGGGAGAGAAAATGTTCAGCGTCCAAACTAGAGTTAGCTGCTCACAGGGAAAGTCTGCAGTCTCCCATGGATGAGTTTGGGTATTTGGTCAGAAGCATCAACAACACCCTTGTGCAGCCAGATCTGACCTTGAAATTAGCCCAACACTGCACAGTGGGTTGGACAAGAAACCTCCAGAGGCCCCCTCCAACCTATTCCATGGCTCAAGTTCAAGGAAAAGGCTATTTAGATATGAAGGACTTGGGATATGTGCTAACCAAGGACCATGGCCAGGCTGCATACAGCTTTATTTCTCATTGCCAACTATGAAGCACTCTGGATAATTTTCTTCCTTCCCTAAAGTGTAATTTGGATGTATCTTGCAGCATTTCAGTGATAACGCAGCACCACCGGTTCCTCTGTGCTAAGTGATGCATTTCACAGCTCGGGACAGTTTCAGGTGTTTCTGATCCCACCGTACCTGGTCCTTCTGCATCAGGCTCCAGAGGTCGAGCACGTCCGTGCCGCACTCCTTGGCCACCCGGACGCAGGCCTGGGCGTACTGCCCCGTGGTGGCATTGCAGCGGTTCAGCTTGTCACCTGCCAGGCACAAACAGGGACAACATCCAGCACCTGCCACCGATGAGCATGATCTCAGTCTGCTGTGGCACACAGCTATTACAGCACCCTGATGAAGGTCTCCAGGGTGAGAGAAGTGGACGAGAATCTTGGTTGATGATCAGAAGGCTGGATTTATTGATATATGATATATAATACATTATTACTGTACTAAAAAGAATAAGGAGAGAAGTTGCAGAGGCTGCTAAGCTAAGAATAGAATAGAAAAGAATCTCGAAACAAGAGAGTTCCCTGTCACTGTGTTCCAGAGAGCTTGCCCTGTGATTGGCCCTTAATTGTACACATGGAAATGAACCAATCACAGGTGCATCCTACTGCATTCCACAGCAGCTGATAATCATTGTTTACATTCTCTTTCTGGGGCCTCAGCTTCCCAGAAGATGGACAAATCTGAAAGAAAGGATTTCTATGAAAAAATGTCTGCAACACACAGCACCTGCATCAGGTGTCAAACCAGCAGCCACAACCAATCACAAACTAAATCCACAGCAATGTAAGTGGCTGGAAGCTACAGCTTGTGTGGTCTTTT